AACCTCTGACCTTTCCTTGACCATAGATATATATATATACATATACATTTATCATCGATGACTTTTGTTATTCCAATCCTTTACATTCCCTTATGTCAGTTGTTCCATTCTATTTATTACCCTAATGCTAAAACTCTAATGCATATTTGGTTGTAAGCAGCTGATGAGAAACCACGAAATATAATGAATTCATATTATTCTGCATCAATATTTGTTCTATCTTTATTTAAATTCATAAAGGGAACTAACTGCAAGAAAAATAGAGATTAATATTAGTTACAGATAAGGTAAAACAACGAGTGGTGAAATAATATTAATGGCAAGGCAACATAGTGTACAGATGAGTAAAAAGCTGATAAATAGACAAGAAGTAACTCACAATAAAAATGAAGTGAGTAAGTCAATCAATGATGGTTTAACACCCAATCGTTTAAGCTTATTGATGATACATATATGGTTGACCCTATCAAAAGCTTTTGAGAGTTGAAGGTAAAATATGTCAACTTTCCTCTAGCGATCAAGGATGCTTGTCCATCTGTACATCGCAGTAAGCAGGTTGATTGTACAAGAGCGACCCTTCCTGAAACAATGCTGTTGGGGTGAGAACATTAAGGATAATAGATAGTCGTGTATACCGTCGCACATCAGGGACTCTATCATTTTGGGACATATAGAGAGAAGGGCCACTGGTCGGTAGCTTGAGGGTTCACTGCATCGACCTCCTTTGAAAATTGGTGTGATACGCGCCAGCTTCAAAATTTCTGACAGTTTGCTTCTGCTTAGCGGGTGTGAAAACATCACGCTAAGTGGTGGTGCCAGGATTGAAGCTGCTTCCCTCAGTATAGCAGAGTGAACCATATCCGGACCGGGGGAAGTGTCTTTTCTTATGTACTGCAGTTTACGGAGCACCAAGTAAGTGCTCAGGTTCACTTCGGAAAGTGCTGTGCAGTTGCAGACGAAGCATTCATCAGTGTAGTTGATGTGAGTCGGTTGAAATGTCCGAGAGTATTGTTCAGCCAAAAGGTTAGCAGCATCACCGCAGTGATTGATCGACCCATCAGGACCTAGCAGTTGGGAAACTCTAGTTCTGGCTTGTCGAAGAGAAGCTATATAACGGAATGAGCATTTCGAATTGGAGACAAATTTATCAATATGCTTTATCTGATATTGAAGCCTGTCTTCTCTTATTACCTTTGTTCATATGTTCTTTATATGTTTGTATTGCCTGTACGCGCGATTATCAGTTAGTTTGTATTCTGCTCAACAGTGCCTTTTGCTGCTTAGTAAACGGAGAATATGGCTCTTGATGACTGTAGGTTGCTTGTAGCTTTTGGGGGCTGCTTGGGGAACTGAATGCTTTGTACCACTTAACAGCATGTGGAGTAAGAAATCCAAATGTTCATCTACATCAAGTTGAAGGTGAACATCCCAATCCACCTGTTGTAGGTAGTCCTGTAAAACTGATATATTCAACCGTTTGAAATTCCAGCGCCTGTTGTTGGTGGGATATCTTAACTCAGTTTAGCTGACAAAACTGAAGGATATGATGGAGTGATCGCTTTTCCTCAGGGGAACCAGATATTCCTATCGGATGAGCGTTATTAGTGTTGCCAAATTCACGTAGCTCATCCATTTTATTTGGTAAACTCGCGGCGTTCATGTATAAGCAGTTTATGCTTTCAATCTCAAACGCGTGGGCTTCTTCCTGTTCGTCTTTATGAGTCTTATGTAAATGGACCGGTAGCCTACCTATACGAGGTTTACCAAGTTGATAGACTTTGTTCTTCGCACTTTTCTTATGATCAAGACAGTCCACAAGTGGAATCATCAGCTCCAACTTGCCTTTGTGCTTGATCCTGATGTTGTGTGATCTATCCGGATGCATATAGATTCCAGTTGGCAACCGACGTTTGTTGGCACAAAATACTTTCAGAGTTGCAGCCGCCATATGAGAAGATTGGAAAGTTATCTTCATTAGCTAGGGTCTAGAATCTCCATCCTTCTTGGCTAGTATCGTCATATGTTGAGTCAGAATGTTTTTGAACTCCAAGGGTTGTCCGATGAATTTCCATTCCCTAATATCAGAGTTTGCTTGACCTGGGTCCGTATTTTCCGGTACACTTTGCATAATGATATTTCTTCCGTGGGAAAACTTATCGTGAGATTCTTCAGGGATGTTCCGGATGAGTGTTGCACGAAGTAGCCTCAAATGATTTTGATGGTAACATCTCTTTCCTCGAGAGAGCTGTGTAACCATCAAAGGCCCTATTCTAGGAAGTTCAAGCTTCTTATTTAATTCTCCTCAGAGCATTCTGTCATTTTAATCCTTCAAACTGATGGGCAGGTCAGGGTTGTCTTTACGGTTCATGATTATGGGAGGGTCATCACGAACCGTTATTGATTTACCAGGTTTACCAGTGCGTCCAGGTTCAGCACCTTGTTGTTTGGAGGTCGAAGCGCGTTTCCGATTCCTAAGCTATTTGATAACTAGATAGACATTCCTGGGGGTAGACTGTGAGGCCAAGTCATCAGTTGATTTCCTTACAGTACTTGGAATGTTCATCTAGGACGATGACACATGGTCCTTTTTAACCCTGTTAGCATAGGTCCAATCACATACAGAGATTTTAGAAACCACCGTCGCATTCAAGGACCCTGTGCAGGGAGACTCAAGTTTGTTGAGGGAGTCTAGTACCATCATCATTATGATGGTGCTGAGTTTCAGTGTGTCATCACAAGCGCTATTGTTTGGTCCATCGATAGTAGACCTGCCGATATCTCTCTTCTTGTTTACACTGCGCGTCCTTGTTTGTCTACCCGTTTTATGACTGTCATTTTCCAAGTTTCCAGACAACTTGTTCCGCAGACCTGTCAATAAGGCAATGATGCTACTCAGCTAAACTACAGCATCCGTGTTGCACATAACAAATATCCAATAAGATCCGACTTGCTGAATCTGTTGTAGGCAGTAACTATGAGGTCTGCGCACGCTTAGTGGAACCAACTTCTTCCTTATTCGCCTAAGGAAAGTCTCTGTGGTCGATACTCAGTTACCAGTATTTTAAAGTCCCAAATTGCACGGATCGTCTTCAAACAAACTAGGTGTATTCCACAAGAGTAGCTGGATCAAATACTCCAGAATCTTTCTGGGATCGAGAATTGCATGGTAATGATAACGTTCAAAAATAAATAAATCAAATAGTTCACACTATATTATAGGTATTGAAATTATAATGCAGTTGAAGTGAGGCATGTATGAGAAAAATTAATAAACTTGTTGGTATATAATTCCCATTTAAACATTAAAATCAAAACACGGAGTTCAGTGAAAGGATCTCTTTTCAACGAATTTATTATCAAGCTGTACAGCCGTATATATATGAATATGTTTTATTAAAGTAGTAATTCCGTGAGGAAATGTGAACACTAATAACCAAGATTATAATAAGGTGGTGAGAATGAATAAAATGTTTTGGATAAAATAATTAAAGGTCATAGAGGTGTAAAATAAATGAGATGATATGATGAGTATTCATGAACAAAATAATGAGAATATAAAATATAAGTAAAGAGTAAATGGAGTAATAATAATAATGTTAAAAGAATGATAATAATAATATTTAGGCCATGGTAACGATAATGATAAGACGTACTTCTTTTGTACGCGAAACTAGAAAACGACGAACTTAGTTCAATGACCAATCTATTTCACCTATACGTAAGATACATGAACGACACATTTGTCGTTTGTGACGATAATATTGATATAGATGATATCTTACACACTCTTAACTCATGCCACCCTTTTATAGACTTCAATTTGGAAAGGGAGTGAGACCAATCAATCCCTTTTCTCGATGTATGTCTAGTAAGAAGAAATAATGGTTCTTTAAAACGATCCATTTTTCGAAAGCTAACATGGAATGGCCAACTAACCAACTTCTATAGCTGGGTTCCGTTAAGTAGCAAGACAAACCTCATTAATTCTTTATCTTATCGAATACATCGGATATGTAGTACGGAATGCATTAACGAAGAACTTGCATTCCTCAAGAAAACTTTGATGAAAAATGGCTACCCAGACCATTTCATAGAGAAGAATATGAATAGAAGTAGTTTGGATAGGAAATCTAGTTGCTGCGTCCCAAAGAAAAACCTTTATATAAGTCTGGATTTTAAAGGTGATCGAGCATCAGACATAATAAAAAATCGTCTAACAAGAAAGATTAAAAGAACATTTAATGCAGCAAAACTACGAATAACCTTCACTGATAGGAATTTATTTCCTGTATCCATAAAAGATAAGCTGTCGCGTCTGGTCACCTCCATATGCATCTACCAGTTCATCTGCTCTTGTGGAGCAAGGTACATCGGCCGTAGCCAACGCTCGGTTTCAACTCGGATACGAGAACATATCCCAGTTTGATTCTACAAGGGTGAAAAGAAAGCAGTTAGGAGTTCTATACTTCAACACCTAATCGACTGCAATCATTCTACGGAACCACAGTTTGATTTTAAGGTTGTTTATACGATTCGTTTAAATCTATCTAGATTTTTTCGTATCCAACTCTTAAAAATAGCCGAAGCTCTTACCACCCATGAGCTCAAACCAGAACTATGCGTACAAAATAAGTACGTCTTATCATTATCGTTACCATGGCCTAAATATTATTATTATCATTCTTTTAACATTATTATTATTACTCCATTTACTCTTTACTTATATTTTATATTCTCATTATTTTGTTCATGAATACTCATCATATCATCTCATTTATTTTACACCTCTATGACCTTTAATTATTTTATCCAAAACATTTTATTCATTCTCACCACCTTATTATAATCTTGGTTATTAGTGTTCACATTTCCTCACGGAATTACTACTTTAATAAAACATATTCATATATATACGACTGTACAGCTTGATAATAAATTCGTTGAAAAGAGATCCTTTCACTGAACTCCGTGTTTTAATTTTAATAAATTTGTGTCTAGAAGTTGAGGCGTTGCAGCATACTTAGTTCCCACATTCCTGGCGGTTTTTCAATTGGATGGCTACAGTGAAGGCCGTTCGAACTAAAAAGGGTAAAATAGAGCTAGATGTTGAAAGATACCGGTCTGAGGGTTCTTGGAATAAGGCCTTAGAAGTAATACTGGCTCATGGCTCCGATCGCTCCTCGTCTCTCCGTAGGGAAATTTAAAAACCTAATGTAAATTTTATTTGTAATAGATATGTTAAATCAACTAATACTTTGTGAGAATGAGCTAGAATTTAACGATCAAGGTGAATTACCATTAGAAAGTTTGTCAAAAGCAAAGAGGTATGCGGAAGAAGTTATGAATGGAAATGACGAGCAATATAAATTTGAGGCATCTGTCCTTCTTGGGAAAATATACTATCTACAGGGAAATAATGAAAAAGCTCTAAAACTTTTAAGTTCTCTAAACTTGTTATCCGCCAAAATGGATCCTATTACACTGCGTTTCAATCGCATCGTAAGTGAGGGTTTGGCTGTTTTGGGTATGCCTCTTTTACTCAACTAGTTTTGACTTTACAGGTTTGTGCAAAGAAGAACAGTTAAATCTGAAAAGCCCACCCGATATATCAAAAGAGAAAGACAATATTATTGTTTCATTCAACTTGGCTTGTCACATGTGTATAAAACATCTTCAGGAATTAGATCGAACTCAACCAGAGCATACCAATTTGTCTGTCAGTGTACCACCGATTGTAGAAAAAGTCATACAAAAGATTCCGGAAATTCTGATTAACAAGGGGTAAGAAAGTATTTTTATTTCGCCTTCTAAGTTTTTTTGCATATGACATGTTTGTGTGTACCAGACAAAGCAGTTGATGTTTGCCATTGTCAGTACGGTCTGTTAATCATATTTTGTATCACTCTTAAGTAATAATAAATGTAGTCAACCAATTTTTCGGTGCTGTTCTGATTTGTGGCAATTCTCAACAGTCCCGTTTTGTATGGAGTGGTTTTGATTGGTTGTAGATTTGTATCTAATTTGGTGACATGTCATAAGAGGAGTGTGGATAATATTCTTGTAGAAATCTAGAAAAACAGGAGAAGGTTCAAACTGATGAGCTAGAAAGCTTTCAGAATTCCAGCCAAACATTGTAATTCTATCTCTTGAAATACAAACATTTAGGAGAGCTAGGTTATTGCCTAAATTTCACCTCATGTACAACCTAGCCAATTAAAGGAAAAATCAACTGTCAACAAACAGAAAATGATCTCATTGTTATTGCACTCTTATGGAAGGTGCAAAAATTTAGAGGTAAAGACAATATATTTTATGCACTTGACAATGCAAAAGGCAAGTATTTCTAAGCCACTCCTGTATATTCTAAGTCGCTGACATTTTCCTTCTGGTAAATTGGATTTGAGAATGCTATGATGCACCATTTAATAGTGACCACATATAATGTCACTAATTACTATAATATCCTAATCCTTGATCTTTCGTTTTTAAACGGACAGTGGTTCAGTGTGTCCACTTCATGTGTCTACTGTAGTGTATACCATCGTTTGTGTTGCTTATTCGTTTTACAGTTCTCTTCTGCCATAGACCTTTTCTTTATTATCACGTTTTTTGAGATTTTGTCATGCACCTCCGATAACCATTTCCTGGCTTTTCACTATGATTTAGCATACTACACTGCAGACTGTTCCTTACAAGCATCACTTCGTCACACTTGTAGCGAGTGATGTAATTTAGAAATACCGGATCAGCATTTTGTAATATTTCGTAATGTTTAGATTAAGTCGAATACTTACAGAGCTGTCATGGTATAAACCAGAACGGAGGTTTATCAGTTTACTAAACTATTTTGCATTCAAATAGCAATATTTTAAAAATTGGTTCTCAAGGCTTCTCATTAACACTTATCTTTCGCAAATCTAACAACAGTGACAACTAATTCTGCATCGCGAGTTCGTAGGTCCAGCAGGTACAGAGTATATCTGTAACCCATCCTTAGTGTTTATAATTTACTAATGTCGTAAACTTTCCCATCAATGTCCCTAATCAAATCTCCAGTTGGTTATTTCTTTGTTAGCTGGTACTGGTTGTAAGTACCATTCGGATTTTTTAGTGATGCCTCACTATAGGCTTTCAAATTGATACGGGCGTTCAAGGATTGAGTAATGTGACTTCCTTTTAAAAACAGAAGTAGGATCTCTGTTGAAGGGCTTAGATGCCACTTTGCAGTCTAAATTAGATCCTCATATAGTACTAGTAAATGAAACTAATTATTTTTCAGTTGTACGCGACGTAAATCCTGGGACATGATCATCATTTCAAATCGCCGTTTCCCATTAGCGTTTGGTTTGACAGCGTACTTCGTATTTCAATACCATATATACTATAAAAATTATGTTTAAAAAATAAGATCCAGCTAGACATTGTTCTTGTATGATTTGTAGTGGCAGATTAATTCTTGGATTTATTTTATTAAGATCCGGATTCCGAACTCTCAAAAGATAAAGATGGTTACCATTTGGCCGTACAAAATAAAAATATTTTTGGCACTTCCGATCTCGATTGACACAAATGTTTTGCTTCTAAATTTTTATTTTCTCCAAGTGACATACCTGGTGCTATTTCGAAATATCGAACAATTCTTGGGTACTGTGAGTTGCCTGCTACGAGGTCTCTCAGACGAGCTTTATCTTTACGGTTTTCTGAACTGCTGTTACGGAGTGTATGCACAAAAACATATCACAAGTATAATACATCGATGGATCAAGATTCGTTAACAGATAAGGTTTGCTATTAATTTAAACCACCCGTTTTTCTTTTGTTTCAACAAATTCGCCCTTCTGTATTCTCATTGTTTTGGAGAAACAAAATTTCCAAGTGATTAATACTAAATATATATACCCTCAATTTTCAACCACATGCAAGAAGACAAAGTATGAAATGCCTTCTCGAAGTCCAGGTTCCTTAGGACTAAAGTATCATTCATTGTAAATCATTCAAATTTTAAATAGCTATCCTAGAGGCTATTTTTTCAAAGTCATGCAAACAATCTTATTATTAATACTTGGTCTCCGTAAATGCTACTGGTACTTAATGTAGGAAGTCTAGTTACCGTAGCGAATTCATATGTCTATCCAATTCATTGCAAAACCTAGGTGTTGTTCAAAAATTACGAAGTAATAATCTGCAGTACACGGACATAAAAGTAGTTATGTGCGTACGTATGTATAGCCTCTGATTTGCTTAGAAACTCGTTTATCGTCGCCGATTAACAGTTCTCTTCTATTACCTCATCCTATCTCAAAAAAGGCAAAACAATTGATAAAGACTCACCTCATTTTCCCAATTGTAAACGCGAATCATGAGCAGTAACTATCCGTATCGTAATATCTCTACTCGTCAGTATAACGATTGCATCATTTAATACTGATTAGTATGAGTTATATGACCAAAGTAGATTTATGCTTTTCACAATCCCTCCGTCCATTAATAAACGAGAAGTTGCAAAACAAGCCAGTCTTTGCTAACCTCTTGTTTCGTTTGATATATTTACCACATATTCAAATGGTCACTTCAAAATTACAAAACAGCACTCAGTAGATCCATCTTCACAAAAACCATGGTCGCTCTGTTAATCAACGTGCCAGTTGGCTGAACTATTTCTCGACTAAGTCAGTTGAAAAGTATCCTTTGTTTAGTTTTCCTAGGTTTATGTGAAATATGCGATTATATCCTGAATAAAAGTGACATACTTGAACGTATGATTTGGATTTATTACATTTTAAGCTACTAATTTGGAAATTTGTGTTGTATGTTGTCAGTCGTAAAACTTAACAAGTGGAATCACTAGTTGATAATGTGGTGTGGGGTGGTGAGTTAATGGTTAAGGCGTTTAATCCCTATTCACTGAGTCCCAGCCTTGAACTCCTCTCTACCTTCGGTTTGAGCAACCTGATAGTATCACTAGCCAATCACACACAGAGTATGACTCAAACCCAAAGTACCGTGTGAATCAGTTGATTTTTTCGTTTTTATTTGATATGATGATTTATTAAGTTACCGTACATTTCCATAATGCTATCTACATCTCGAATTTAATGTGTTTAACTCAGTTTGTTGATAAAGTATTTTCATATCAATAGTCTTGTTCTGAATACATAATATGAATTATCATACTTTATTCAGCACTATTCGTGTTCGACGCTTATTTCTCCATGTTTTTCTTATGCACGTTGTAATTCGTGATTGAACAGTTCACAGAAAATCACTTATATTTTGTAGTATTTCGCTAGTTTCTTTTCATTTTATATTTTCCTTGATATTAGGATGCACAACTTATTCCATATCGATATCCTACAAATAGATATATTCCAGACAATCGAATAGAAGAAGCAATTTTTTCGTTAATGATTTCTGAGCATATAGTAAGTCATATTATATATATATATATATATATATATATATATATATATATATATATATATATATATATATATATTCGTGTTGTAAGCTTTCCTATTTTGACACTAATAATAAAAATGATAAAGAAAGAAACCCTTGGAGTCATTAAAGAAGAATGAAGACTGTTTAACGTAGGAAATTTTCTTTTCGACGATATCACCTACTCAATCTGTGTATTCGTATTTACTGTTAATACACAGATAAAATAATTTATTGAAAGATAGGAGGAAGATTGCATCATATCATGTATCAAAGAAAGTTTCTTAATAATCGAGAATTGAAGAGAGACAATAGAATGCAATCAGATATGAGGAGAATAACTGTCAACTTGACGAGTACGAGAAGGTTGAAGTTTAATTTATAAACATGACGATGATAGTAACTAATAATTAAAATTAGGAATATTAAAAACATCAGAAGGATTACCGTTTATGAAAATTAAGTGTTAGGGTCATAGAAGAATGATGGCATGCACGTGTCTCATTTGTACATCGAGTTCAGGTTTGAAATGATGGGTTAATAGCGCTTCTTCAGTGCATAAATTATCAATTTGTGCTCTTTTTCGAATTTATGATCAATGTATTCAGTATTATATGTTTGTGTTGAGGATACTATATCTTCAAATACACTGTTCGAGATAAAAGTCAACATTAATTTTTCATATCGCCTTAAGTTATTTTCTACTCAGTCAACTTCGACGCATCTTCATTAACTTTCAATGTATGGTCTGTTGTATTTAGGCTTATTTGATTTCTCTTGTACTGATTATTTCATTATAATTTTGTATCCAGTGAAAATGAGTCAGTTTATAAACTCTAATTAATAATCACTAGATTGATAGATAATTAAATCAGCTTAGATGTCAAACCAATGTGTCCTTTGATCTTGTCCAATAAATCTTCTTAACCAAAACTTATCTTTTCGATTAGCTCAGGAGTTGGGGACTAAACGTGAGTAAAGCTGTTGTAAAATGCTATCGCAGTTGTTCCATTATAGGCTGTCTATCTTACTTATATCCTGAAATGAGTCAAATCTATTACATAATGTATTTTTATACCAGATTTCCGTATATGTTGAGATTTTATTCAAATCAAATGTGTTATCAATACCTACTACTTCCAACTTAAAAATACTGAAATGATTTCATCACCAACTCGTAATAACTGTGTAGCATCACTCATGTTTAACTGATCATCATATACTATTGTAAAAAACTAACTATGGAAGTTTCGTCACTTGTAATTGAAGCGTTCTTAAACTGTCTAATCGTTAAATCTGTTCATAGTATCATTGAGGTGTCATGGGAATACTCTATAATGTTATGCCCTTATTTTCACCAATTAATTACAATCAGTTTCTAAATATACAACTCGGATTTATTAAAGACAAGATAAACATTCACTTGGGGTTCTTGTTTTATCATGTTTATTTTCGTTTGTATAAATTTGTAGGCTAGTCAAGATGTTATACTTAATCGACCATCGGAATTATCTGAACCACAAATAGTTCGATCATTTAATAATGCAGCTGCTGTCTACGACTTACTTGCCATCCTTCTTACTAAAGTTAAACATTTCAAATTTCTTTCTAAAGTGAGTTATTTTGAACTGTTATGCCTTCTAGAGAAAAAAACTCAGTATGTGTATGATGCACGTAATCATTGAAAATTGAAGTTGCTTGTGCATATGTATTCACGATATAGCTATAATAATGGAATAAAGTTTTGATGTCAGCTGAATTTAAATCATTAATTGCTTAAACTTTTGTTAAGTGTTCTACTAAGGCGAATCGACACAACATGATACATGTTTTGATAGCGTAATTGTTCGTATCACACTTCGAAGAAACCTGGCAATAATAAGCTGTCAAAAGAATAAAATCTGTAAAATGATAACATTTAATGTACATTTGCTCCACTAGAACGTTTTTATAAAATATGAGACCTTCGGCCGTCGATTTCAATTATCAAAAAATCAATATTGTTTGGCTACTTCAGACCAATCAGACAAGGCTGTCTACTCTCCTCCTTCCTCTTTCTTCTGGTGATTGACTGGGTTATGAAGACCTCGACATCTGAGGGGAAGCACGGAATACAATGAACGTCTCAGAATCAATTAGACGATTTGGACTTCACAGATGACTTAGCCCTCCTCTCTCATACACACGAACAAATACAGACGAAGACAACAAATGTAGTAGCAGCAGCCTCTGCATTAATAGGCCTCAACATACACAAAGGAGAAAGCAAGATTCTCAAATACAACACCGAACACACCAACCCAGTCACACTTGATGACGAAACTCTGGAAGAGGTGGAAACATTCACGTACCTGAGAAGCATCACTGATAAATGAGGAGGATCTGCTGCAGATGTAAAGGTGAGGATTGGCAAAGCAAGGAAAGCATTCCTACAATTGAATAACATATGGAACTCAAAACAACTGCCAAGACGTTGGAAGTGGATCGGACGTACATTGAGGAAGTCACTAAACTGCATCACTATGCAAGCCCTAACTTGGAATCCGGAAGAGAAGCGGAGAAGAGTAAGGCCGTAGAGCACAATACGCCGGGAAATAGAAGCAGATATGAAAAGGATGAATGTTAACTGGAAAGAATTGGAAGGGATTGATGAGGACAGGGTTGGAAGGAGAATGCAAGTGTGCGGCCTATGATCCTTCATGAGGGGTAACAGGCGTAAGTAAGTAGGTAACTTCAGACCAATAGTTACTTAGTCACGATACGTTTTTGAGTGGTCTGTCTGTTAAGTTGCCAGACACTGCTATCATTCATCAGTTTTTAATTTTGATCCGAATTCATGACGTTCTATGTTTAATTGTTGCATAAGTGAGGGATATTCGCTTGCTCTCAACTCAAATCCATTTCAATCCAGGTCAATTAAGTTTTAACCAACAAATTCCAGCATTATGCTGGTATTATAATCCGAGTTAAATGTGGAATGATATCGTGATTGAACAGAATGATCTTTGTTGATGTTTGAAAGCTTAATATGTAGACTGATCAGCGAGCATTTTCGGCATTTATAATTGTCATTTTCATCGTTTCCATGATTAGAATCTTTGATTTTTGCTGCTACCTTGACGTGGTGGTCGAGCTCGCTTATCGTGATGAACCAATCGAGTTATACTGGTTGGAACAATCATTTCTCAAGGTCCTACCATGCCAGACAGGTCGGTTGAAGAGCGATAAGACTAAAAGCAGCAAACCCAAGGTCCGAAGGCGAAGTCGTACTGCTGACTGTATAGAGGTGTGACGGCAGTAAGGTGTTTCTTTCAGACAACCAGCATAATTGCGATGCTACCTTCCCACAAGGAGGGGTGGGGTTAGAAAAGGTCGACCCTAAAAATGCACACCTCGCATTATCCCACGGATTTCCGTCTTCGGCGGTAAGGTAACAACAAGTACGGAGCTAACACAAAAATCAACCACAAAAGGGTCGTGTGTGACCGACTTCAAACAGCTGTCTCTTGGGCACTGCGGTCATGCTCTCAGGTCACTAAGACCTCTTCCAACCCAATTTCATTTTCAGGTACCTCTAGAAGAACCCTTCCACAGTGTGAGCAACCGAGAAGTGATAACTGCCCTCATATCTCTAACAGCACTCAAGACCACTGTATTCATAATCAATCTCCTTCTTCAGTTCCTATTATTCCTCCCACCTCGACTTTCAACACTAAACTTCCTCTTTCGGTTTCCTCCTCCAGTGCGTAAAACACTGTCTCACGTCTACTGAAACCTCTCTCCAAACTACACACTAGAGCCTTCAACGTACGCACCCTGTGTCAAATCGGCCAGCAGGCCTCCTTGTCTAAAGCCATTGATGTATGCTGTGTCTCCGAAATACGCATACAGGATCCTAGTATGGTCATTCACTTGACCTCATCTCGTCAAAATGGACAGCCTACGAAATACACCCTCCATGTATCTGGCGATTCGATAAGTATTTCTTGTTGTCTGCCAGGTGTAGGCGTAACACTTAGTACGAAAGCAGAATAGGCACTATTAGAGTGGATCCTCGTTAACAATCGCCCATTTGCTCTTCGGCTAAACAGCTCCGTAAGAACTCGGAAGGATAGGAACACACGTCGTTGCCTTTTCATCGTTTCTGCCTACGCTCCCGCTGACTGCGGCCCGGATGAAGTGAAAGATGACTTTACAGAAAGCTCTCTGAACTTCTTCATAAAGCTAAACACTCAGACATAGTACTCGTAGCGGGTGACTTTTATGCCCACGTAGGTAGCTTAAACCAAACAGAAAGACGTTTAGGTGGGTATTTTATTATTCCGGCTCAGCGAACAGATAATAGTGATCGTCTGTTGCAACTATGCTCAGACAATCGTTTATTTTTAGCGAACAATAACTTTAAGCATAAGGAGAGACGTCGTCTAACATGGCGACCACCTGCACCAAACCAACGATGGACTCAAATAAACCATATTGCCATCAGTCATTGTGGGAAAGGCTCGATAGAAGATTGTCACTCGTATTGGAATACTTGTTTAGACTCTGATCGCGCTTTGATACGAGCGCGCATTTGTTTACGCGTCGGTGGACGCAGAAAAACCATACTAAGAAAACTCTGTAGACCGAGAGGTTCTGTGGCGGCGTCTGTCATTGAAAGGTGTATCTCAAGAGTATATAAACCTTGTGAAGGCTCTTTACTCGAACACTACTAGTCAAGTGAGAGCTTATGGCGAACTGTCATCTTATTTTGCTACCTCAAGTGGTGTCCGAAAAGGCCGTCCATTATCTCCACTTTTATCTGACTTATTCGTAAACGTACTACTAGAAATAATGTTTTCGTCGAGTGAATTTTCGGGAATCGATCTCCCACCAGGAAGTCCACTTATCGACTTGGAATACGCAGATGATATAGTCGGTATAGTTGGTATAGACGCTGAAGAAAAAGCAGTCTTTTGGTAGCACTGAGTACTAATGCCAGGATGTTTGGGATGCGTTTCTCCGCCTCTAAATGTAAATTGTTGTTCCAGGACTGGCCTGTTTCGATATCTACGCAACTATCGTAACCAATGGTTAGAGAGTCTGTGTGAAATGCCTAAGAATCCACCACAATGGCATCTGTGTATACACTCATTGTCTTCCCTTAAACCGTGAGGTTAAAATTGCTTCATATCTTTCTTCCTGTATTATATACTTATATGCAATCTTTCTTTTATTTATTACCACTATTAAATTAACTACTATGAATTCAGTGTTCATCTTGCTGTGTTAATGAGGTATGGCGACTTATTTATTTATTTATTTAAACACATATATATTGGTACAAAAGGGCACCAGATACATATGCTCCAAACAAAATAATGAAAGTAGGAAGAGAAAGGATGAAAAGATAACGCGGACTAAAATGTACAACCAGAAGACACTTTCAGTTAAGAAAGTTAGAACCACTCTTTATGTAGAAGGTAAAAGAAGGTTGCAGCAGGATCGCCACTGGCTTCTATTCTGAGCCATATCCGATAACGTCTCTAGCCACTGTGTTACACGATCTCTCGGACCCCAACCAGGGAGTCGTGAAGGATCAACAGAAGCTAGCCCTTTGCAGCTTTCTTTCATGCCACGACACCATGTCATACACTGACCTACTCTCCGCTTTTTCCAGCCAGTCCCAGAGTCGGCAAATAATGCACGGCGTGGAAGTCTCTGGGACGACATTCGTAAAACATATCCAAGCCACCGAAGTCGGTGTTTCAAGATGGTGACACCAATTGAATTATCGTCTCGGCGCCCGAACACACGATGCCGAACCTCTGCATTACTATGGCGACTTGAACCGATGCATATGTGTGCCTGGTCCTACGTTGTAGCTGACTGACTGAGAATCTTCGATTTTATTTATTATTTTTCTCGAATTCCACGTATTTAGTTATCATGAACAGTATGCTATGTGACAACATTATGCCTTGTGTTCAATTAAAGTAGTCATTATTTATAAATTTCACTGCCATTTGCACTCCATGTTTTTGAAACTATTGTATATGTACTAAATGACGAATTAAGACAAATAAACACAACAGCTCTAAAGTAAGTGGTTATGATGACTATCATTAGTCAACTTAAAAGTTACATAAATTAAACTGGTTAGTTCGACTTAGCAATTTAAAGAGTAACCTAATGGTTAATCATTCAGCTGTCACTCAGCAAATCACTGATTCAAAGCACGCTTCTGTATAATTTGTAATAAAAGGACGTATGGAGTTTGTTGAATTTGTAGATGGCGTCGAGTCGCGATCGACTATGATCACCAGTACAGGAAGATTACGTGCCAGATATCGAGTTGGATCCCTCCAAGGGCCAAAAACCAGAAGGCTGTTGACGGTTGAAATAAGATAAATTTTTTGCCGATCTCATGGTATTGAAAGAATACGGAGACGTGCCAAAGTTTACAAGCGGAATTACCGGACGTACTCGCGTTCGTGCTAGGTCACAGAAAATGGAAGAAAATCTGTGTGGTACACTTAAACAAACAAGCACAGTAAAACAATCACTGGTACAATTGGTTATAATAATTATTGTTTCCATTATAGCAATCGCGTTCTCGTCACAAATGTAGGTCACTACAAATTAATGAATGAAACTCACCAATCGATTGGTAATATGCAGTGATATAGTGAGGCCGAGTGATAGTTGCTCACGAGATCAAATTAGTAACGTGAGCTCTCAAATGAACTGATATAAGAAGTAAAAACCTCTGGCCAGTAGAATAGGGTTTTCATTTAGGAAAATAAACGTTCTTATATACAAACTGTCGAGCACAAAAATAAATATGATTAGCAGTAGTTTAACAACTAAACACTTGAAGGGTATGACAGCCATAGGTAATTCACTCTTCAACAGAATTAATCCTTAATTAACGAGGCTTAATTCTTCCCTTTCCACATCAACACTAATCAACCACTGAGTAGTAACAAATGTCATGATATCTAGTTCCCCTAGTCTCCTAATCGTATTCTGTCGATCAACTTGTCAGGTGTTCATGCGATTAAATCAATTAATGTGCTGCTAAAAACCACTAAAGTTTTGATTCAGATCTTTCCGCTGGTTGACTCAAATCATAGAATTTCGGAGAAAGATTTAATTTGTGTTTGTGTTAGGACTACATCTAACATTATGAAGGATCTAAAGTGAGCTACCGAATAGCGATTAATTCGAAGTTTCCCAGCCTTAATTGTTGACTGAATTCTGGTATATTTGTATTGTTTCTAACTGTGATGTTTACTAGTGTATTTTAATCTCCTAACAAAAAAGTTGGATATAACTAAACATAGTTTCATACAACTCTCTAACGACCAGCATTGACTATTCCATATATATTTGGTGAATTTACATTATGTCAATGATTATAATGTCGACAATAAATACTCCATAAATAAATATGGTCATATTTCACGATTTTCTTTTGATCTTTACATTTATGATTATATATAGTGTCTTGAAAAAGCACTCAAGTTTTCTTATCATCAATTTCATATCTGGTATCAATTCGCTTTATCATTAATCAGTTCTAAACAGGTATGTTTTTATCTCCCTTATTATCATCTGCGATTAACAGTCATTTATGTGTAATTATTATTGTTTTTATGCATACTAAAGTATTTAAATTTGCTGAAGTTATTACATTTTATTAATAATATAATTTTGAATGCCTTGTTTACTTTTATTGCTTTCATATTTTACTTGGATTGGAAACTGTCTTTATGGACTAAGAAAAAAGTATAGATCAAAGAGTATATTGAATAACGTACAGTAACAATAATTTGGCTTAGTAGTTAGTGAACCTCAATTGTAGCTATTGGGTTACTAGTTTGTAAACCATTACACATATTTTAGATACATTGAACAGCTAACGAGTAATATTGGCGCTTACATGTTGAATGTGACTTAAAGCCGAGCACTGCACATTTATGGAATTGTTTATTAAATGAATAACATGAAACAGATTTTAAAAACTTTTATTGTAGTTAGACCCTCAGGAAATGTCAAACCATGTACTCATAACTAAATTGACCCTGAGATTGTCATATTTCACGTAAGCACTTTAAATTCAACCATTTGATCGCGGTCTGTGTTATCAGAATTCAGTTCTAACCATATTTCACGAGTGAATCGCGGTCAAATCTGGATATTCTGAATAGTCCCTGGTCCATTTTGAACCAGTCATATTTCATGGCCAAATAAAGATTGCGAAAAAATGTTAATTTAATTCTACATAATCTTTAGTGTTTCTTACTGCTATATCTTTGTCATTCAGATTTATTGGAACATGCATTGTTCCCTCTCAAATCTCTTATAAAAGCATTGCCTATAAAAGCCAGTGGCTTGACATGAACAACACATCTGTTAACCATCGTTTGACTGGTATGTAAATAAAGTATGTTTGAAATAAATGATTCTCATGGTGGGAGTATTATTGGAGTTCTTGACTCAACTGGACGGACTTGGCGAACAAGAACAAATAAGGACGCTAGGCTGCTCATACCGCTCGAACGGCATTGGTTTAGCACAGTACTGAGATTGAATAAGTCGTATTTCGATTGGCGAGTAAGTCACGTGATGACTAGCCGGGCCTTAAAGTCACAACCCCTATCTACTGTTTATCTTTAACTTAGTGTTATTCCTTAGTTTTGGTCGTTCTTTCTGATCTACGTTCTCTATGTTTATTCTTCAATATCATTGATATGGTTATTTCCTCTGTTCTGTTTTTCATTTTGCTGAGTTCACCATAATGTATTCTTGTGAGTTGATTTAAACTGGGCCGACAAACATTTGTACTACCTTTTTTATGATTGACTTGAAAAAAAAACTCGTTAAAATTCATTACACAGTTATATTATTTAAAAACGGATACAAATCATTATGCATCCTATTCATAAATTCCCCAAATTTCGTATCTGTTTGTTCTGGAAATTATAAACACTTTATTATCAGGCTAAATGGTTATATATACCAGTCTGCACTTTGAAAAAAGTATTATTTATAGATGCTTTTAATGCGTAACCCTCCTAATTATAATGTAACGAGGAAGATAAACTAAATATTAAACTTCCCATTTCATCTATATCACTTACATCTCATGTGTATGTTTGTATAAGTGATCCGAATAGCCTAGATAGAAAACGTGAAAATTATAACATTTGAGAAGTTAGATTATACAATAATTCATTAAGACACGTTCACATTTGTATTCAACGTTATTATACTTTCTTGACAGACTATGTAACTTAGCAAATCCAGTCTACTTTGCTCCGTGTATCGTGACCATAGCTACCCCCAGATAGTATGAGAAGAAAGCCTTATATGACACGTCTTTTAAATAACTTTGTTATACCAAAATACTTTATATTTTATAAATAAATAACAAAGCTTTATTTATCTGGTTTCTGTTTCTAATTCCTTACTTTTCAGTTGTTTTTTTCTATAGCTTCTTCAGCTTTTATCCAATATAGAAGCAAGTATTTTTAAATAATCCAAGTTCTATAATAAGCATTAAGCTTTATTCTTGTGTCTTGTTTATCATTCAATTCTCTATAGTATTATCGTGGTTATTTGGCTCTACGTGAATGTTTACGAATTGATAATTCTAAAACATCTGTTTATCTATTCGCTAGTTCATTATGTTTGGGTCATTTAAATTTAATTGAAGAAGGCATGGAATTAGCTTCACAGGCAGTAGAGGTAATATTTTTATTCCTGCCTATTTATAATGTGTATTTTCATCAAATCTATTCATATATAATTTCTATTTCTACTAGTTTAAATTAATCAGTTTCAACTGGATGAATAAAATGGTTTTCCGAGTGTTTTAAATATTAATTATGCAATTTAATGATTATCATTACCTAGATTAATAATTTCAGATAAATTGATTATTGAATAGAATGTTGATAATATTGTAATAAACAAGAACACGGGCGGGGACAATTGAATGTATTTAGGCACAAATTACAGACTATCTCACTAAATTCTGATAACCATACAGTAAACAGTTAATTTGCAAAATAACAATCAATTGTCTCAATCTTCACTGTTTCTTCTGCAAATATCTGTCCCTTCTCTTTGATTTCATTGTTCATGAATTTTCGTATCGATTGCGCTTCATTCCTGTTCTTTCCTTATCGATCTTCTGCTAAAATACATTCTATGTCTGACCATCACCATATACTACTTATATGGATATAAGTAGACCACATCACAACATAACCATTTTATACTTGTAATATTTCATTAAGATATCAAAAACATTACTATATCACAAAATATTACTATGTAGTTTATTATAATGTTCTGTAATTGTTAGCAATGGAATTGATCATCTAGTTTTAAAATTTATCAATTTCACTTGTCTACATTGGTTTGAAAGTCTGTGCTTCCAATAATACTGAGATTTGACATTCACTAATTCATAAATTCTCATGGTCACTAACATTGAAAAAGCTAACCAACTATCTTCTTGATCATATATATTGTTCATGCTGAACTCTTCCTGTTTAAATACAAATATATTGTGTACATAAATCTTATTTTAGGTTTCTGCACAGTCTGAAACAGCCTTTATGGCTCGTGCTCATTTACTAGTTGGTTGGGGTTGGTCTATATTAGCCAGGTCATGTTGTGTTGTGGATAAAAAAAGCGAATTGCGTAATCGTGCTGTAAAAGAGTATAGAATGTAAGTGCCCTTTTTTATAATCTAAGGTAATATGATATTTTATACGTCGAGTCATCTCACTTATCACAATGCCTCTCGTATTCTGATTATGTCAAATGTAGAGAAAATATCTATAGCAATGAATAACTGGTTAAACCTATACAGTGTGAAGGAGAATAGAAATGGAAATTTCATAATGGAGAAATATGTGCATATGCTTCTTCAATTTAAAATATTAAAATCGTACCATTTGATCATTTTTATCAGGTCATTATCAGTCTGGTTACCTCAGTCACACTGAAAATTGTGTCAGCTTATACTGTATATGCATTAAGTCCGTTTATTCTCTTTCAGTCATATGCAGTGTTATAGTCTGGTACGTATGTACATCTCTTCAAATTACCACACCACATTGTGACAAGGATGATGAAATCATAAAGCCAAAGTCCAGAGTAGTAGAATTAATAACAGTACCAGCTGTAATAAAAAAGATAAAATGTAAGATGAAAAGTGTATGGGGAATTTACGTAAATCAGGATCTAGGGGAAAACAGAGAACAAAAGTACCTCCGGCGTTGTGAATGTTTTTGAGCCATAAAACCCAAAGTCTCTAACCATTTGTTACAACAATCTCACAAGTAATCTATGTGTGCGCTAAAGTTAGGTTCTGGGTTATATTTTCCCATTTACCATTCACAAAGCTTACATTAATGATTTTCAAATTTTGTGCATATTCCATTTTATTACTCAAAGAAGCTTTAAGAACTATAACTAAATCATTAGAAGTCATACGTCTATTGAGTTACTTCAAAAGATAGATTGTTGTTGATACAAAGCTCTGATGAAACTTCACTTTATTTTTAACACTGATTAATCGATACATTGTTTACTTGGACTGTAAGTCTGTTTACCACTTGTTTATATAAATTCAGTGAAGAAAATTTTCTTTTCGACGAAACTAATAATTCTTTCATGCTATTTAAACCTTAATTTTTTATGGAATAAACACTAATACAGTAATCAGTGAATTCATGACCTTATTCTAATAGTTAAGTTGAAATCGTTTGTATGCATTAGAGAAGTTCACTGTCTACTCATCGTGTATGGATATCTTTTGTGTATAATTTATTTTGTCTTTTTCTTCATTTCACTAAAGTGCTATTCAACTAGATCCCGATGATTATTTAGGATGGTATCATTTAGCTGTTGAATTAGCTACACAACGTCATCTGGACGAAGCCTTGTCAGTTTGTCAACAAAGTTTACAATTAATGCCAATACATTCCAATACATTGTATTTATTAGCATTATTGCATACTGCTGGAGGGAAACGTTTAGATCAAGCTGCAAAAGCGTTATATGTTGGTTTAAGTGATAGACCAAATGATTTTAATTTATTGTTTTTATTAGCTAAAATTGAAGAAGCTAGAATTAATCCTAAAGCTGGTTTAAAAATCTATCGTCAATTGTTAAAAGTATGGCGTGATACATTCTCGTTAGGTTCTAATTCCAAGTAAGTTTATATGTTACTTTAAGTTTCTCATACTATCAATAAACTTTATTACAGGTTTTTTCTTTTACATCAGTGTATACCTATATGGACAATATTTGAGCGAACAATTGTTTTCAATAACTTCATCATCAGGCTCTACAGTTATAAGTCCATAATTATAATATAATAATACCTATATATTGATAGAATCTAAGATAGATTTTCTGTTGAACATATTTGGCAATGAATTTATAAACTCATTATAACAAAAAACTATGAATACAAAATAGTACGTTTTATGATATACCAGTCAAACTAAAAGTATCTTTATTAAACTCACAAAAGTAATTCCTACGCAGTGTGATCGCGATAGAATAAAGCTGTGAAGTGATTGGTTACAAATATATCGACTGGTTTGCAGTGGTTGTTTAATAGTTAGACCACTGGACTTTCAATTTGGCAACTGGTTAGTTTCACTCGTTCTCAAATTTAAAACGTGTCTTATCTGAGTACAATAATCTAAGAGTCTTAAACGTATTGAATCACTAGATTGTATTATATGGAAATATTGTTCCATATAATTCCATCTATTCATCGTAGTACACAGTGATACAATATAATTAGTTAGATGATATATCAAATATCTATGTGATTTCTCACAATTATACCGTCTTCACGATCAATATATGTTTGTGACAAATCCTAGATTTTTAATATTTGTCTGTCGACTAAGAAAACTCGTTTGAGAGTTCTCATGGTTAATAGTAGTCTGTATTTCGAGTCAATTACATATAACTAAAAACACGAAGTTCAGCGAAGGGATCTCTTCAACGAATTTATTATCAAGCTGTACAATCGTATATATATGAGAGCTTTTTGTTACAGTGCTAATTCCTTGAGGAAATGTGAACACTAATAACCAAGATTATAATACTAGATTACTTAATACGAGTAGTAACAATAGATTTAGTGAATATAATAAGATGATTAAAATGGATAAAATGTTTTTGTTACATTAATTAAAGGTCATAGAGGTGTAAAAATAAATGCGGTGATATGATGAGTATTCATGAATAAAATAATGAGAATATAAGACATAATTTTAAATGGAAGCAAAGATGGATAGTGGCTAGCAGTGGAATCCAGGACGCGCGTTTCGTCCTATTTGGGACTCGTCAGCTGGATGTACCTGCATCTCAGAGTTGATGTTCACTCTGTTAAGTGTTTTTTAGCGAATTAGTTTATCTACGAGATGGGGTCGCTAACCCCATGCCCAACCCTCCTCCTTTACACGGGCTTGGGACCGGCAGTAACTCAAGAAGAGCTACAGGCGGAATTCGTTACCACATCAACTTCATTGACTACGAGAAGGCGTTTGACAGTGTGGACAGGAGAACATTATGGAAACCTTGTCAGCACTATGGAGTTCATCAGAAGATTTTCAGCATTATCCAGTACTCATACGAAGGACTACAATGCATAGTCTTGCATGGAGTACAGCTGACAGATGCATTTCCAGTAAGGACCGGAATCAGACAAGGCTATCTACTCTCCCCTTTCCTCTTTCTTCTGGTGATTGACTGGATTATGAAAACCTCGACATCTGGGGGGAAGCACGGAATGCACTGGACATCTCAGAAACAATTAGACGATTTGGACTTCACAGATGACTTAGCCCTCCTCTCTCATACACACGAACAAATACAGACGAAGACAACAAATGTAGTAGCAGCAGCCTCTGCATTAATAGGCCTCAACATACACAAAGGAGAAAGCAAGATTCTCAAATACAACACCGAACACACCAACCCAGTCACACTTGATGACGAAACTCTGGAAGAGGTGGAAACATTCACGTACCTGAGAAGCATCACTGATGAATGAGGAGGATCTGCTGCAGATGTAAAGGTGAGGATTGGCAAAGCAAGGAAAGCATTCCTACAATTGAATAACATATGGAACTCAAAACAACCGTCAACTAACTTCAAAGTGAGAATCTTCGATACGAACGTCAAGACAGTTCTTCTGTATGGAGCTGAAACGTGGAGAACGACTACAACCATCGCCAAGAAGGTACAAGTATTTATAAACAGATGTCTGCGCAAAATACTCAACATTCACTGACCGGATACTATCAGCAACAGCGTTTTATAGGAGAGGGCAAACCAGCTTCCATCTGAAGAGGAAATTAGGAAAAGACTTTGGAAGTGGATCGGACATAAATTAAAGAAATCACCAAACTGCACCACAAGGCAATCTCTAGCTTGGAATCCGGAAGAAAAGCGGAGGAGAGTGAGGCCGAAGAGCACAATACGCCGCGAAATAGAAGCAGATATGAAAAGGATGAATGTTAACTGGAAAGGATTGATGAGGACAGGGTTGGATGGAGAATGCTGGTGTGCGACCTATGCTCTTCGACGAGGGGTAACAGGCGTAAGTAATAATAATAATAATAAACGCTACGGTAACAATAACGATAAGACGTTCTTCTTTTGTACGTATAGTTCTGGTTTAAGCTCATGGACGGTGAGAGCTTCGGCTATTTTTAAGAGTTGGATACGAAAAAATCTAGATAGATTTAAACGAATCGTATAAACAACCTTAAAATCAAACTGTGGTTCCGTAGAATGATTGCAGTCGATTAGGTGTTGAAGTATAGAACTCCTAACTGCTTTCTTTTCACCCTTGTAGAATCAAACTGGGATATGTTCTCGTATCCGAGTTGAAACCGAGCGTTGGCTACGGCCGATGTACCTTGCTCCACAAGAGCAGATGAACTGGTAGATGCATATGGAGGTGACCAGACGCGACAGCTTATCTTTTATGGATACAGGAAATAAATTCCTATCAGTGAAGGTTATTCGTAGTTTTGCTGCATTAAATGTTCTTTTAATCTTTCTTGTTAGACGATTTTTTATTATGTCTGATGCTCGATCACCTTTAAAGTCCAGACTTATATAAAGGTTTTTCTTTGGGACGCAGCAACTAGATTTCCTATCCAAACTACTTCTATTCATATTCTTCTCTATGAAATGGTCTGGGTAGCCATTTTTCATCAAAGTTTTCTTGAGGAATGCGAGTTCTTCGTTAATGCATTCCGTACTACATATCCGATGTATTCGATAACATAAAGAATTAATGAGGTTTGTCTTGCTACTTAACGGAACCCAGCTATAGAAGTTGGTTAGTTGGCCATTCCATGTTAGCTTTCGAAAAATGGATCGTTTTAAAGAACCATTATTTCTTCTTACTAGACATACATCGAGAAAAGGGATTGATTGGTCTCACTCCCTTTCCAAATTGAAGTCTATAAAAGGGTGGCATGAGTTAAGAGTGTGTAAGATATCATCTATATCAATATTATCGTCACAAACGACAAATGTGTCGTTCATGTATCTTACGTATAGGTGAAATAGATTGGTCATTGAACTAAGTTCGTCGTTTTCTAGTTTAGCCATGAAACAGTCTGCTAGAATCGGACCTAATGAAGACCTCGTTGCGATCCCATCTCTTTGTCTATATATTTCATTGTCGAAACTGAACTAGACATTAAAGGTACGACATGTTCACATTTCCCCACGGAATTAGTACTTCAACAAAAAATTTCCATATATATACGATTGTACAGCTTGATAATAAATTCGTTGAAAAGAGATCCCTTCGCTGAACTTCGTGTTTTTAATTTTCAATGTTTAAATGGGAATTATCTGTCAATTACATATACTTACCTTTTTTATAATAGACCACTAGAAGTACTTAAAAACTGCTAAATATTCGTTCAATGATGATGTAGTTTCTTTTTCAGGCCATATAAGAATTGGGATGCATGCATTCATAAAAACACGTCAAACTAAGACCAGATCAGTTATACCTATACTTGTTTTTTCATTGTTTGTTCAACTGATTCCGTTTGATGCATGTTTAAGTCTATTTCCGGGTTATAAACCGCTTCAAAGCTTTCATGTAATACAAATTTTATACATTTTACATTCTCAAGAGTACTATTCAATCGAATGCGAAAAGCTGCCGTATCAAATGACAACGATATAACTAATTCAAATACTACTGATGACTTAACACTTTCTAGTGCTTCTTCATTTAGTCCGTCGTTAGAATTAGACGATGATTGTTCAATATTAAATGTATGGGAAGAAAAAACTAACATTAGCAATTACCTACAGTCTGCGCTATCTGATATAGCGATTGGTTGTGTTGGTCAAACTGGTGCATCTATCGTGCCGCTTTCAAGACAATCTCGTCCGAGCAATCAAAATCAAACCACTGCTTTGAAAGTGCAAATTAAAATTTACCAAGGTCTAGGTAAGTGTTATGTGAGTGCGTTTATACTTTCTCCCTGTGCTCACGTTCTTTCTATCATTCAGCGCTTTCCAAGTTCTGAGTTGCACAGTAAACAAAATTCTTCATTACTCTGTCTGTTCACTGAGGGTCTGAATTTTGCTTTTCATTTTATTGAAACCTAAGAGATGCTTCAGAGGATTACAACTTGATAATTGAGTGACACATGAAGTCTGAAAATCATTGCAATAAATTTATTTTCAAAATAAGTGTTATTGATATAAAAATAACAAATAGCCGGGACTACAGGTCTAAAATAGTGAGCTATAGTATTAGCAGAACAAGGCCAACGATAGGGTGCTTCTTTCAAACAAGTATCTGAGAAATAATTCACAAAACATAAAGTGAATGACAGTTCAGTAATGTTAGCCGATACATTGAAATTAGAGCTATTCAACATCAAATATAGAGGTTTATAAGAATAAATAAATTTCCAATGAACAACTTAAGACATGGATACAAAACTCAGTTAAATGGAAAAGGAATGTAATAAGATGGGAATAACTGTTGAATCAAGTTACATAAATTAGAGTAAATAGACATTATGAACTCTACGTTTAAAAATGATATCAGATACTGAATAATAGTAAGTAATGGTGCATAATACACAAAAAGAAACGGAAAATGTAAAAAACTGTGAATAGGGATTAGCAAAATAAGTTCAGATTAAGCTGATTGTGAGTGCGTATCAGTTGACTTTAGGATTATTAGTGCCATATCACTTGATTCTGTAATCATTGGTTACAATAATCATGCGGACTTCGATCAGGTAGCCCACACTTATTAACATGACTCTGTCGAGTTGTCAGTGTCTGCACAAACTAGTGTCACGTTTTGGCTTTACCGCCCCCAACTTTCTTTTAGCCTTCTACGCGAGACAACATCTTCCGTGGTGGTTGAACATTCATCCAAAATGTCCCAACCACGTCACTGGATAAAGATTCACTACCCCATCAACCAATCTTCCATTTTTATGAAGAACACTGTCGAATATATCTAGTTTAACCTTGAACAGCAATATATTATCCTACTTATTTTAGATTTAGTAAATTTCAACACACTATTGATCTTCAAAATCTATTTCAGCGGAGTCATATTTAGACAATAATCAATTGTTTGAAGCCAAAGAAGCATTAGATGAAGTAATGAAAATTGGTGGTCTTGATAATCAAACATTATATCTTGTATGTCCTATTTTAATGTTTAGTAGTTAATAATTATAAATATTTTTCGATCTTGTCGAAAAAACTGACATTCAAACCTAACGCATCCCTGCCTTTTTGTGTCGTAGAACTCTCACTTGGCCTCCGATGCTAGAACGTTTTATTAAAACCTCTAAAATTGTTCGGCTCAGCTGTGTTGAAAAGTATTGTCTGTTTGTATTGATGAAGTACAGTCATTGAATTGCTTTATCTGTTCTCTATAAACTCTTAGAATTAACGTTCTGGATCATAAAAATAGCTATTCTTGGTTTACTACTCAAGATTGTCAAAGCAGTACTAAATAACTGCTCAGTAGGTCTCGATTTCAACTAATTTATTCACTGTCAGAGTTGTTTACAGTCGGACGAACAAAGTCTTGATTTCCTCGTATTGTTACAACTAGTTCAGTGTTTTGAGTGCTAGCTTGATTAACTTTTGTGATGCAAAGCAAAGGGTGAAGTGCACATGTTCGTATTGTTTCTTCTATTCTATAAACCCAACCAATATTAACAACTTGGATGTAATTATCGAGCTTATCTCATATAATCACCCAACCAAGCTATATTGCCTCGAACATTTGTTGTTCGAGGTCCTAGTGTGCCAGTTTAAGAGCTGTTAAGACAAAGTCGTCACATTTAAGTTCGGAGGATGGAATTGTATTGCCGATTATTTGAGAAAATGCCAGCAATATGTTTCCTAAAAACAATCATGATACTACTCTTCTAAAATAAGGCTCCTCCCCTCGTACCACGGATTTTCGTTTTTTGTGGTAAAATTTGAAAGCGTACCGTCAGTCCTTCAGAAAAAAACCACTTAAGAAAACGTCACTCATAACCGATCTAAATGAATAGATAGATACAATCCCAATCCAACAAGTCTTTAAATACTAACGCATCTAAAAATTTCAATCCTCTAACCTCATATCCCTGTTATCACTTAACTTATGGTTTCATCTTCTCTGTCATGTACAACCAATTCTAACGTTTTCATATACATGTTGAAGTATTCAATGTTCCAACCCTTTGTCATACCAGAATGGTTTTCACTAGCCACGGTTCTAAAATCGTGTGGCATGGATATATGCTGTGTTTCTGAAACCCGAACTCCATTACTGGATTATAGGTGACCATAAGCATTTCACTTGGATAGCGAAACTATCGAGGCATTTTGCTGAGTTTAAATTTAGGTAGTGATGGTAAATGGGTTTATGCTACTAAAAACCTCTGTCGATTAACGTTGTTGGAACATATATCACGTATTTTGAAGTCATGTATTACCTATAGGTGTTATTCTGACCAGCGAGTAGATTAGAATTGTAAAACGAAGATAATGACGTCAGTTTACGATTGTCGAATTGAGCCTTGTTGGAAGGTTCAGTTTTCCTTATTAGACCCTGCAATATATGTAGTCTTTTGCCAGTGATTCCATCTCATCTTTTTCTTCTAAATTTTTAGCATAGTGTTATCCAAAACTTCTACTTCCAATAGTTTGTTTATTAACAGTGTTTATTCTCTAGTCGATATTAATACCTTCATTTCTTTGTTTTACGTCCGGTTAATTTTTCTTCTAGCTGTGGTGGGTTAAACTGCGTCGTAGCATTTTGTTCATAATTGACTGATACTGCATTGTATAAATTACATTTTGAACCAAAATACATTTGGATTGTTGACACATGTTTTTCAACATACTCATTTAGTCTACAACTTGTTAGATCTCTACTCCATAAACCAGGTCTATATTATCACCGACGCCGTCAATTGATCGATTTCTATGTAAAGAGTATTTCCTAAAATATGTTAGGTTTAAGACCAGTCACAATTCCTATAGGACTCAATTCAACAGTTAATGCCGACTACCGGCTATATTATGTATTGGTATGATTCCACTTCTTTATCCAACTAAGTCCTACGACTGTAATCACCATACATTTCTCCCATAAGATTTATTATCATCCATATGTATATTTCGAATAATTTATTGATGCAAATTCATTTCCTCTTCGAATGAGTTGCCAATTTCAATGGGGTTCACTAAAAGTTATATGAGGTTTGGGGCATAGTTATGGCTTAATAGTATTAATACAGTACATTTGAAATACTTAGCATCCAAAACGTTTTCGTTAAATCGTAGTTTTTGATTTTCTTACTGGTAAATACATATGACGATGATTTCCTGCATTTTGTATGACATTCATTGTCATCACTTATTGGTTATTTCTTCTTTGAGTGACTCACAACCATACTGCTTTGCTTTGAATAAATAAACAACTGTTGTAACTCACTTATATATACTCCGTTGACTAAGATTCTGCCTCCCTAAATCCATCCATTTAGGAATTGCGGATAGATTCTGTAAAAAAGCTTGATCTTTGAAATACACAATTTTACCATTTGGTTATATTGTCATAGCAAACTTATAGTTACTCAGAATTATTTAGTTATAATGTATATCTATACTTGTGTTAAAAAGAGCTTTATCAATCTGTTCTGACTCGAATTTTGATTAGCTGTTCAGCTCTAATCCCAATAAACTGGGATATAAATATAATTCATTTGTATTGGTTGTTTGAGTTTTCCCATTGATGTTTAGGATTGCAATTGATCAGTCTCTTTTTGGTCTATGTGCTTCCTGTGTGGATTGCTTCAATATTCTCATTGAGTCCGCACGAAATACTTATGCCGAAGAGACTGATCAATTGCGGTCTTAAACATCAATAAGAAGATTCAAGTAGCTAATACAAATGAGTTAAACTTCACCCCATTGCACAAGTCAACATCCATTTGAACTCAGTAGCTAAGTAAATAATGAGATGGGTTATGAAGCGAATGGTATTGGGTTTGAGTCTTGGAAGGAACGTTATCTCCATGATGGACGTGCATCCTGATGACAAGTCACAAATGGGACGAAGCACGCGTCCTGGACTCCACTGCTAGCTACCACCCATCATTGCTAATAATAAATATGATTATGTCCACAAATGAGTTTTGTCTGTGTTGTAATGTTGCAATTGGAGCTGGCTCCCTGTGTATGAAGAGTTTTTCTTTTTTCTGTTTGTAATTATGCAGCGTGGACGTTTAGCTGAAGAACGAGGACTCGTATGGATAGCCCGATCTTTATATGAAAGCGTTATTGCATTGAAACCGGATCATGTACAGGCACTACTCTCTTTAGTAAGTTAAATATTTCTTGTCATTTGGAAGAGCTTGTATTTCCCTTTTTGTTGATATTTGGGACGTCTTTACTGACATGTTTACGTAGCAAGCACATGTCTCATTGAGAAAGTTGGTAGCTTTAGTGGAGACCGTATTGGCTCTTAAAGTGATAGGTAAGGTACCACCTAGTTGGCGACTTCTGAAGCTGTAGCATTTAGTACTTTTCACGCTTACGTAGTTTTTGGATAAAACAATTAACTTTTCAAGTCATTATCTACACATATATTTTACCTTGTTACTTATTCGCTTGTAATCCTGATTCTTTTTACATGGATGTATGCGTTTACCACAGACTCTCTCTGTCACATCTCTACTTTTTTTCTATATCTAACTACAAATATTAAGTCACGTTTCAAATTGGGTTAGCACGTTTACTTTTTCTGCTTTTCATTTGTGTTGTTTCTATGGTTCACTCATAATTAAAAAGAGATATCGGTGCACCTTGGGTTTTTCAAACTCGGGAGCTGCTTGGGATGTTTTATTCACTGAAGAAACGTCAAATACCAACGTTTGGGTCGGAACAATTTAAATAAATTGATCAACTGATTTCAACAGCCTTCATTGACGTTCAAAAGTTAAAATTAAAGTGTCACGATAGGTATCATTGATAAGGAACACATAGTTCTTATTCCTTAGAAATGCCATCGAAATAACTGTTGTAGGGTGCTTTTCGTTTTATTTAATAAGTCAATTTAATTTTGCTAAAGATAATCATTAAGGTTGTCCGCCAGAAGACATTTGAATGGCTTTTATTTTTTATTTTGTTTCAGTGTGTCATTTAACCCATTATAATAACGATCTTTTTTTTTATCAGGCTAGTCTTTTACATAAAAATAACCAGACAACCCTGGCTGAACGTGTAGCACGAGATGCAATGAATGTGGACCCAACAAGTTTTCGTGTATGGCGTTTACTTGCTGACATATTGGGTTCTTCAAATACACCGGAACCAGCATCTGAAGCTGTTGTTACACGTGCACTATTAACAGCCATTGAACTGGAGCAAACTGAACCAATTGAACCATTTTATTGCTTACCACTTGGTGTACGATGTAATTAAATGTGATACCCTTCCATCGCTGTTAATCCTTTATATTACTTAACGCTGTAATTATACACACCTATATTCCTTGTAATTATATTTCATGATTTTTTTAGCTTATTTATACACTGTCCTATTTGATCAAGAAACTTTGGGATTCTTTCAAATGTGTATACAAATGAAATATGATATAAAAGTTGTTTTTATGCTTTTGATACCCACTATTAGTGTTAGGTACGAATATATTTAATATATATGTATGTTGAGGTCGGGTAAAAAAGTAGTTTAATGAAATTACAAAACCAATTTCAGGTCATTGGTTTGTGCTGTGTACAGGATTCATAAACTTCCTCATTGCCTAAGGGTTGGATAGTTAAAGTCTAGTTGTAGACTAGAAATATAGGTAGTGGTATACTACTAGTATGATGGTCCTTTCCATTTCATCACTATACCAATTCAATAGTTTAATAAACTCTCTGATAACAACATTGGTTTTATCTTTAAAAAGTGACCATAACATCCGCATTGAAGGAAAAGACTCGATACCGACATGATTGGCCTCAGAGTTTTTGACTTTTGTATGAAAATAAAAAAAGAAATCATAAAATACTCAGCTAAAAGAAGTTCACTTTAAAAGTAATTATTTCAGATCACAATGTATTGTTTCATGGAAAAATCTGTTCATTCAACAAATTATGCATTAAAAAATTTAGAAGCCAACTTTTCCAAGTCTTTCGTCAGTTTTTGGATCTGCTGTCAATTTTTGAACATGTACTATGCTAGCATTTGCTTGGTTTTGTAATTTTCGTAGCCGATCTATATTTAACAATCTTAACGCAATAGCCGCAGCCTTTACAACGGGATCTTTAACACTAAATCCAAGACATACATCATCAAGCTTTAGCATATCAATCTAAACGATGCAAAAAAGATCGAATAAATAGAAAGTTTGCGAGGATTTCATAAAAAATTTAAATTTGGATAAACTTTAAAAGCGTGAAAAACGCTATATTTAGACTGTATATTTTCTCTCTCCCAAATGTTATCATTACGAAAAATGCGGTTTCCTTTTAGAAACAATCGTACAAACTTACCTTATTTTTCGAGGGTAGTACTTATTTTAGTACAATCGTTTTTTACAAAAGGATGTTTTTATTTCAAATTATAAAACAATCTTACCAACATGAACGAAAATAAGTCTGGGAACCCAAACAGGCCATCCTATCATATATGTGAAGGACATACGACAAGTCACAAGTTTGTTAAGACCGTTTGGAATAGACACACAACACAAACCAATCACATTAATTTAGTCAATCTTATGGAAACTAAAAAGCATGAAATGGCGAAGGTAAAAAAGTCAACATCTATCCGCTTTAATTGTGGTGACACTATAACTTATGGACGGACCAATCAGATTCCAGTTAGCAAGTCTGGAATGTTGGCCTTTTGGTATTACAGCTTATGCCGGTTCGTGATGAAAACCATAATTCCTAACCCCAACGTGCAACTGTAAACGCTGATTCTCATGCACTAACTTATGACCCTCTTATAACCGTAGTAAGTGAATATCCTGAGATGGTGGAGAAGATTTGTAGCTCAGGTGGGTGATTTTTATGTTGGTTTGTTCTCTGAGCTGGATGGTTTGGTCGTGGAGCTTTCATCGTCCTTCTGAACGACATCATCAGCACAAACTTCGGGTAGAAGTGAAGTGTTTGAATTTCTCCACATGTGATTCACAGCTTGTCCTCTGCACCTCGATGTTGATTGGTTCTTATTGACCTTAAATCTGTCATTGTTTATTTCTTTGTTTTGATTGTCTCTCCTATTGTTTTGATTTTTGTTCCTATGTTCCTGCATAATTTTCTTGATTGGTTGATAGATTGGATTGATTTCAATATGTTTGTTTATTGCAGATTGACCTGAGTGCCAAGCTTCTAAAAATTCTCTGGTATTTTTGGAATTGCCTCTGTTCAAAATCTGCACATTTTCCCAGTCGAATGTATGTCCGTAGTTGTCCACGTGTATTGATATGAGTGAAGAAATGTCGTGGCGTTTGACTGCTAATTGGTGTTCATGTAGGCGAAGATGCAGGGGGCGTCCGCTTTGTCCAATATAGTGTTTGTTGCAGTTGGTACAATTTATCTTGTAGATGATGTTTGTTTTGTCTTCTTTTGCCATTTCATCTTTTGGTTTGCATAAGATTGAGTGGAGGGACTTTGTTGGTTTGTGGGCTACACCTATTCCGAAGGTTTTCAGCAGCCTTGTTGTCGTTTCCGATATGCCCTTTATGTATGGTAGGGTGATCCTTTTGTTGATTTTTATACTTGACTTCATTTCTGATGGTGTGTGCGACTGGTATTTTTTTGATGAAATTGATTGGATAGCCGTTCTTTTGAAGAATGGTTTTCAGGTGTTTTTCTTCACCTGACCGTGAAAACGTCAAAATCTTTGGTACAGGTAATGCCAAGATTCTTGGACTTTCGGAAGCTTTGCTCTAAGACTCATTGGTAATAAAAAAATGTATCAGAATCGATCCCATCATCATCCAGCCAGGTCGAAAATCGAGTTACAGGAAATGAAAATCAAAATAAATGTGCATATAACGACAGAACGGGTCAATCAAACAGTCAGAACGTGAAACCTAGTACTTATATACATCGGTCCAAGTTACCATATCTCACATTAGAAAGGAGAAATAAATCCCAAAATCGTAGAGGTAGTGACAGTATCGCTGGTAACAGGAACAAACAATCAGGATAGACAGAATGTCATAGTCAAATAGTGGGGTAATTTAAAAATATCGGTATTAACTTTATAACTGACGATGCCAAACAATGCGAGCTTGAATTTCTGAAATGCCGTGAGCTTTATTGAGATCATACACCCAATTACTCCGCACATGGTCGTATACTTGAAACCTAAAACTAAGAATTCCCTCGAAATACTCCTAAACACTAAAATCCAAATTGAATTCACTGTTTTATCATTCTATCCGCATAAATGGTTATACCATACTTTTGACCGATAGGAATCAACTAATAGCAATAACTTGATCACCACGTAGTATGAACCAGTGAGGAGAGCGAAAAACGTTTCCTATTTGATTTGGTGCAGAAAATAATTCTTAAGTCAATCTTATCTGTTGTATTTATTTATTTAAACACATAAATATTGGTACAAAGGGGCGCCAGATATATATACGCCGCACAAATCTCATTTGATTTGTGTGAGGGCTGTGATACTGCTCAGGTGCTTAAATTGAAGTAGATGGTTTTCTTAGGGGGCCACACCCGGAGACCTTGACCTAACGATCTGACCCACAAGGCAGCAGAGCATCGTGAGGAGATGCAGTCCCATAGTAGCCGGTGACCAACGATCGATTCATACACCATTTGTTCCTTCAAAATACTGGAGCCCATGTGCACCATTGGTTTGGAATCAGGGTATTCCGACTTCCCTAGGTGAACACCTCCGTGTCCACCAACCCGGTTAAAGCTCCGGGCATTCGCTTTTCGTCCTCAATTTCGTAAACAACAGTAATGACACGAGAAGGCAGTGAGTAGGAATTCCCTGGCAGAGGCTATATACGCGTGGTCATGTGAGAGCATTTCGGGAGGGAGTGCGGACTCTCCCCACTCTCGGCCGTACCAGGGCATAAAACATCTAACATATAAGTTATGGAAAAACGACATCATATTTAGCCTTATGCTTCGATACTAAAAAGAATAGACTGTCACAAACAAATATACACTGTCACACGGGATTGTATTATAAGTGATTGTACTAAAGTTTGCTGAGAGAGGAGAACTGTGTACAAAATAATTTTCCTAATTAAACCACCAATAAGAGGATACTTTTAAAGCTGATGAAAGTGTACATAACTTTACTTGAGAACAACTCACTTTAGATGTCCCATAGTCCTTTATAGCATCATTCAATATATTTACCTCAAGTTTTTGTTCAATAACCAAACAGACGGCCTAGGTAAATGGAAGCATGAGTAATCTGCATAATTTACCCTCACCTTAAATAATATTCTGATATCTGGATGAACAGGTATCTGCAACAGCTTGGCTATCTTTAAAACGTTTTCCTTAAATTCATCACTGTTAACTAAGAGGATTAGAAAAAACAAAACGAAATCACCATCTATGTTATTAAAAGCGTTCGTGGAAAGAGTAGAGTTCTCAGATATACTGTTGACTTGAGTATTTCTAGCTATAAGTAAGATATAATGACGTCATGGTGGAGATAGTTACATGAGTTGTATTCCAATAGTAGTGCTTTGCTAAGAAGCCAATCCAACATAGACCAACAATTAGATTCATTAAAAGGGCACTTTACTGCCTGGAGATACTAAAAGAAACAAACTAGGGAAATATATTGAAAGCACAAACCTTATTTAAATAGCTTGTCCATTCCAAAGATTGTACGTCACGCAATCTTGCTTCAGCAGGAAGAGCTCGAATAATTCTATCCTCTAGCCATACGATCACATTGCGTACATTGATCAAATCTTTTGTATTAATAATTAAACAGATGAATTTTATGGCGAAAACCTGAAACATCGAAAACATCGTGCACGGGATAGTTGACAGAATGAAGCTTGAAACGTAGTCGTTCATTAGCCAACATTGTAATAATCCGACGAGGGAGAGAAATATGAAAGAAATCAGACTAAGGGATCAAAAGTCTCGTAATCTGAAAAGACAGAAAGTAAACATGAATTGGTCCAATATATAATCGTAAGCATATAACAAATTGTTGCTTTAATTAACCAATTGTCTGTACAAAATAAGACTGTCAAGTAACTAGCGACGTCAGCTGTATTTGGGAACACTAACAAAACTGTTCTTCCAATCACCCTGAGCAACGATAAAAGCATACTTGGGATGTGATGTACTCCCTCGGGATGTAAAATGTTGTTTCAGTACTGGTCTAAATCGATGTCTGGGTCAGTGGTAGGCAGCGAAGTGGTTGAGAGCGTCGGTCACTTCCCGTATCTTGGAAGGCTTATCAGACTTAATCAACTGACGCTCGATGAAAGTTTGGACTATTTAAAACTCTTGATTAACTTTTGTCAAATTGTTACTGATGGCGTAGACGTGATATTCGTCTACCAACCAGAGAGCGAGCATATTTTAGAGCAGTTTGATTCGTTTCAATTTATGGCTATAAAGCAGTTTTAGGAATGGAAAACGCTTATACGTTACTAGTATTTGGTTATGAATGTCTCTGAAGCACGTTTTATGTACTTTGGGACCCTGAGTATAAAACTCTTAGACTAGATACAAAGTAGTGGATAACGGAAGTACATTGACTGATCAAGCATTGGATCGGGAACAAATAAGGTGACTGGGACTTGTATTACATATGCTTAACTACCACGTAGCGAAATGACGGATAGTGTAGGAGTAGCCCACAAAACAGCTACGGGGCAACCAAAAAAACGTGACATTGGTTCACGGAACTATCCACATGTCATTTCCCATCAAATATTAAATTTCAGAATCGCTTCGTACGTTCTATATGGAGAATTCGTTTTTCTTGAGGTATACTGCCTATGCTCAATCCTTTATTCTACTAATGATTCTGTACAGGATAAGTAAATTACGTAATTTACATATACTTCATTGACATCTCACTTTGGCGAGGTGCTATGACGAAACCGTATATGTCAAAATTTATGGTGCTAATGACTGATCAAACCGTAGTGTCCTCATTATCTTAACTACGAATTCCTAAAAATACCGGATGATTCAGTCACATGGACGGGTTACTATATATATAGCAACAATGCTGTTGCTACAATTGTTGCTACAACAATTATAACCTAAATTCAACTCAGTATTCATGCAATGACCTTATTATTCAACTTTAAACTTTGGAAAAATAGTCATTCACTAGACACCATTATCACGAATTCCCTCACTGATTAAAATTAAATTTCTGACTACGTAATGTGAATGCAAAATCTCTAATTTTAATCGGTTGCTCACATGATTTACGTTTACCGACTTCAAGTAAGAAATTATGGGTTAGTAATACAAACCGAAAAAAAACTAAAATATGAAATTACAAGAAAACGTAAAGTGGCGCACTCTTTAATTTGTTGCATTCAATATTAAATGAGAAATACTATGGTCAAGCTATACAAACGACTAACTAAACTTACTCGATCCATGCTGTGGTTACTTTTTATGTTGCTCAAATCACATTAGAAGTATGTGTTCTGACACGTACTTACAGTTCACACAGACAATTAAGTTGTGTAATATACTTCTAAATTCTCTTACATTTGAAGAGTCAATTAAACGGCATTAAAAACGGTACCAGATTATCTCTCAAAGTCTCGTATCTCCGATGTAAAAGACAGATCATAAACTCAGAGTTTCTGACTCTAGGTCAATGTCAATGAATACGTAAGGTGTTGCCTAATAAGCACTCTGTCCTTGTCCCGTTGTAATATTTGGATTAAGAGATAATTCCTTTGTACCTGATCTCGCACTTATTAGGAATTACAAATATAATTCGTTTATTTGTTCTCAATTAGCTTTGCCTGCCGTAAATTGCACTATTTCGGGGATTCATAGTTAGTAAATTAATGCACATACTTCTAAATACCTTGCGCGTGCAACAGGAAGATCACATAATCTGGACACGAGTTCTTGTTGAAATCTTTTTTGTATTAGTACTGCTACTTTAGGGTAGCGAGAAGAAAATATCAGTGTGTAAAGCCAGTAAAATATCATTGAGCCCTGGTGAAATCATTCGTCAGTTTGGTCGCTGGATGTCGAACAGACCAAGGTCAAGGACGACAATGGCCCATCAATTAATTGTACGAGATGGATTGATCCATGCGATAGTAATCACACTACCTTCTCCATACTTATTCTTACTAAGATGTTTCCGAGATAACGTCTTTTGTGTTATACTGTCTTCAAAGCAACCATAGTACCTTGATATGACGAAGAGGTAATCCACTTTAGGTACTGACCACGTGGTGTGACTTCGAAGTTTGCTGATTTGTCACACCACTTCAATGTAACTTGAGTAGGCCAACAATCATTCGATAAAGATGATCCACGTTAGCGATCTTCACTGCTGAGCAAGATTTCGAACAACGTAATCTTTCATTGTAATCTCTAATATTTCGTCCCATACTTGTCTTTCATTGTTTCTGATCATCAATTACTGTGAACATCCGCTGCTTTTTATCAGTGTAAGTTAGTATTTAGACAGGGCTGTGATCACTACCTGACTAATTTTCAATCGCCGAGCTCCGTTGTCAAACAGAAGTTACGAATGCCAGGAATTTACTGTGAGTTTGAACTATAAGCTTCCTTCAACCTCAGATTTCGATTAGATTGCTCGTTAGGTAATGCTACGTATTTGGCTTAGATTATTTCTCGACTTATACAAACTAAATCTTTGAAGCTATTCTAAACTAAGGGTTAAATCAGCAATACCTGGTCTGCAGTTCAAATTCGAACTGCTGTCTTTTTCATAATCATCACTACTTGGAAGCGAGAGTAATCCAGGGGAGTTTCATAGTTGCATTAGATTATTTCTTACTGTATTTATGTCCAACACCATTCCCTAGTTACCTTCAGTTTCAGTTTCAGCTTGGAAAGGACAGGAGGCTTGATGGCCTGTGTTAGTCCTGGCAATGATGGTCTCTCAGCTGATCCAACTTTCTTTTGAAGGAGTCGACGGATGGAGCCTCAACCACGTGCTGAGGTAATGAATTCCACTCGTTGATTATTCGATGAGAAAGTCGGTAGTCAGCTGACAAGTAATTCGTTCTGGGCTTGTGAACTTTTTTGGAGTGTCCTCGTAGGTTTTCTGTTTTGGAAGACAAGAAAAATGAGGGCATATCAGGTGCAAATTTGTCATTTAGCAATTTGAAAACTATAATCAAGTCACCTCTGATTCTTCTATATGACAGCGGGAATAGGTTTAGCTTGGTCAGTCTATTACCATACGGGAGCTTCGCTATTTCGGGAATCAGCCTAGTTGCTGTTCTCTGAACCCTTTCCAAGAGTTCACTGTCTTTTTTTAGGCAGGGGTTAGCTGCTTGTATACAGTACTCAAGTTTAGGGCGTACGAACACTGTATACAAAGTCAAAAACGTTTTAGCGTCAAGATGCCTAAAAGCCCTGCGTAAAGTCCTAAAACCTTTGGCGGCTATTGCACGGTAGTGTGCAGTAGTCTTTAGGTCTTGACTGACGATGACGCCTAAGTCGTTGTGTGCCTGAACAATAGGTAACTCAGTGTTATTCATCGTGTATGTACCTGTACCCTGATGGCCAATATGCATCACAATACACTTGGAAGTGTTTATCGGCAATTGCCAGGTTTGGGACCATTCAGATAATCTCTCCAGGTCATTTTGAAGTTCTAAGCTATCGCCCTTGCTTTGTATCGCTCTCCATATCTTGACATCATCAGCATAGAGTAAGACCGATGACGATAGTAGACGAGGGGGATCATTTACGTACAGGAGGAATAACACTGGCCCCAAAACTGTACCCTGGGGGACTCCACTAAGCACAGTTTCCCAGCTAGACAACTTGGAGTTCACCCTTACTCTTTGTTGACGCCCAACTAGGAAGTCTTTTATCCACATCAATAGATTGCCTCCAATCCCGACATTCCTTAGCTTATACAACAGCCGGTTATGCGGAACTTTGTCGAAAGCTTTGCTGAAATCGATGTAAGCTACGTCTATAGGTAATTTTTGGTCCTTAAGAGCGCACCAGCTTTCACGAGCGACTAATAAGTTTGTGAGACAAGAGTAACCTGTTCTAAAACCATGCTGCTTTTCGGAGAGGATCCGGTTTTCATCGAGATACTTTAACAGTTCCTTCCGAATAATCTTTTCTAAGATTTTAACAACCACACTAGTTAGGCTAATTGGTCGGTAATTCTCAGGCTTATGTTTTGTACCTGTTTTGAAGACTGGACTTACTATGGCGTTCTTCCAGTCTTTTGGTAGACGACCCTGGGTTACGGATAGATTAAAACATACACTTAAAGGGTTCGCAACAAAGTTAGCTAATTCCTTTAGTAACCTAGGATGCAGTTCATCGGGTCCAGTGGATTTACCTATGTCAAGCCTAACTAGCAGACCAAAAACATCGAGTTCTTTAATGGTTACGCTGTCCAGTGCTTGTGTGGGTGGATTTTCATGGACTGGTGAGAAGGGTGTTTCTATGGTGTATACATCGCTAAAGTATTTAGAGAATACTTGAGCTTTGCCAAAGTCATCCTCCACTAGTGATGTGGCAGTACTGTCTCCCCATAATGAAGGAACATTTCTTCTTCTTTTTGTCCTTTGGTTTATATACGAATACAAGCGTTTAGGACATTCTATGGATTCCCTAACGATTTTTTCTTCGTACAGCTTTCTGGCCTTACGGAGGGTCGAGGCACAGGTATTTCGAGCCTTTTGATACTGAGATTTCGCCTCGTCAGTCCCCAGTAACCTAAATCTGTCCCACATTTTCCTTCTTTTACGGAGAAGGATGCGAACCTCCCTACTGAACCACGGTGGGGAGTTTCTCGGTCTCTTAGGTGTAGTCCAAGGGATGTGGGGGCGGTAACTTTTAAGTATAAATTCCGG